GAATGCTTATTAAATCTGCAGATGATACTAAATTGGGAGGGGTTGCAAAAACGGAAGAAGACAGAGTCAGGATACAGGATGATCTTGACAGGCTTGAATACTGGGCTAAAACAAATAAAATGATTTTCAATGGGGGTAAATGTAAAGTTCTGCATTTAGGTAGGAAAAATCAAATGCATAATTATGGGATGGGGGAGACCAGTCTTGGCAGTAGTATGTGTGAAAAGGATCTAGGGATCTTAGTAGACCATACACTGAACATGAGTCAGCAGTGTGATGCGGTTGTTATGGCTGTTCAGGGGTGACTTTGTAGTCAGTATGGCGTTGCCTTGGGGTATCTGGATGTGGTTTTGAGCGGCACCTTTTCCTTCCTCCGCTTCTGATTCGAAGGGAACGATAAGCAGACAACTTGACCCGGCTTCATTGACCTCCATCAGTTCCCTTGCCCCCATTTCTCCCTCTGTACTTATCACCTCGCCATTAATTACTTGGCTCAGGTGGCTAATGACCGTTGAGGCAAGTACTGACACAGGAAAATCTGCATACCAGGTTGCATGAAAACAGATATTCCGAGGCAAGGGGGAACCTGGTCGAGTGCTGAGAAAATGTGGAGCGAATGCCAGATGCAGAGTGGACCAGTGAGGCTCCAGTGTCCTCCAACACAGTTTAAAAAAAATATAGACAAGCTGGAACATGTCGAGAGGAGGGCAACGAAGATGTTGAGGGGTCTGGAGACCAAGTCCTATGAGGAAAGGTTGAAGGAGCTGGGTAGGTTTAGCCTGGAGAGGAGATGACTGAAAGGTGATATATGATCATCTTCAAGTATTTGAAGGGCTGTCATCTAGAGGATGATATGGAGTTGTTTTCTGTTGCCCCAGAAGGTCAGACCAGAATCAACCGGTTGAAATTAAATCAGAAGAGTTTTCGGCTAAACATTAGGAAGAACTTCCTGACAGAGCTGTTCCTCAGTGGAACAGGCTTCCTTGGGAAGTGGTGGGCTCTCCTTCTTTGGAGGTTTTCAAACAGAGGCTAGATGGCCATCTAACAACAGTGCTGATTCTGTGAACTTAGGCAGATCACGAGAGGGAGAGCAGGGAGGGTTGCCTCAGTGCTTAGTCCTCATGGCCCTTTCTTACACGCTGGTCACCACTTTGGGGTCAGGAAGCAATTTTTCTCCAGGCCAGTTTGGCTGGAGATTCTGGAGGTTTTTTGTCATCTTCTGGGCATGGAGCTGGGGTCACTGGGGGTGCTGGGGGGTATTTATGAATTTCCTGCATTGTGCAGGGGGTTGGACTAGATGACCCTGGAGGCCCCTTCCAACTCTATGATTGTATGATTCACGAAAGCTCATCCCCTGCCGCAAATTTTGTTTGTCTTTCAGGTGCTCCTGGATTTCTGCTTTTTTTCTCCTGCTACAGAGGTATCTGAAGAAGTGAGCAGTGACTCGGGAAAAGCTCCAATCCCACCACAAATGTTGTTAGTCTCTAAGATGCTCCTGGACTCTTGCGCTTTTCTCCTGCTACAGACAGACAAACACAGCGACCCATCTTCATCTCTCTGAAGAAGTGGTGACTCATGAAGGTTCCTACCCTACCATGAATGTTGTTAGTCTTTAAGGGACTGCTGGATTCTTGTTCTTTTCTCCTGCTACAGACAGACTAACACGGCCCCCCCATCTTGATCTATCTGAAGAAGTGAGCAGTGACTCAGGAAAGCTCCTCCTCTGCCACAAATATGGTTAGTCTTGCAGGTCCTCCTGGACTCTTACTCTTTTCTGTTGCCAAAGACAGACTAACAGGGCCATCCTTCTTGATCTATCCCTAGTCCCTAGCCAGTTTGGTGTAGTGGCTACGTGCGTGGACTCTAACCTGAGATAACTGGGTTTGATTCCCCACTCCTCCACTTGCACCTGGCTGGATGACCTTGGGCAAGCCGTAGTTCTGATAGAGCTGTTCTTGAGAAAGAGCCGTTTCTGTCAGAGCTCTCTCAGCCCCACCTACCTCACAAGCAGTGTTCCCTGTAAGCTGAGTTAGTGTGAGCTAGCTCACAGTTTTTTAGCCTCCAGCTCACACATTTATGTCTTAGCTCCGGAAGGATGGCTCCAGAGCAAACTAATTGATGCAGTAGCCAAATCGCTCGCTCACAGCTTTAATGCCAGTAGCTCACAAAGTAGAATTTTTGCTCACAAGACTCCACAGCTTAGAGGGAACATTGCGGTGTCCGTTGTGGGGAGGGGAAGGGAAAAGAGTTTGTAAGCCGCTCTGAGACTCCTTTGGGTAGTGAAGGGTGGGGTATACAATCTCCTTTTCTTCTTCTATTTTGCAACAGAAGCCAGGGCACCTTTTAAGACTAACCAGGTTTATTTCAGCACAAGTCAGATCCACTTGATTTCGTTCGATTTCCAAGAGATGAACAGCAGGGCTACCTCTGCGAAATTATGTAATCCCTCCCATTCAAAGAGGGATTTTACGATTTGGATTCCAATCCAACCCCAACCCCCCATTTCTCGCCACTGCGCCCAACCCGGGTCCATTAGGTGGCAGGAGAGAGCCGGCTTTGGCAGGGCAGCTGCTCTGGCAATCGATGGGCTTTCTCCAATAGAGGTCACGGGGGATGTTGTCCGGCGGGGTGTCTTGTTAGCATCCCCAATACACGCACATGCCCAAGATCCTATGAAGGAAACCCGTTTTGCAAAAGGCATCTGCAGCAGCCGTTTTTTGCAAAAGGCACTTGCAGCCGTTTTTTGCAAAAAGCACCTGCAGTCGTTTTTTGCAAAAAGCACCTGCAAGTCAGGCAAAGCGGGGTACCCAAAAGTTAATATTTTTTTTTAATAAAGGCGGGCTAGAACGGAAGACGGTCCCCACCCGCCTCCCCAGCGCAATCCTCTGGACCACAGCGGGGGCTGCTCGCGCCTGCCCAGCCGAGTGGGGAGGGGGCGGAGGCGGAGGAGGGTGGGGCCAAGGGGGCCCCGCCTCGCCTCGCCTCCTGCTTCGTGTCGGCGGGGGCGGTGCGGATGCGCCGCTCCTCCGCTGGCCCCGCCTGCTGCCTCTGCCCGGGCGCTGCGCTGCGCAGGGCCCCCGGCCGCGCTTCCTTCGGGCTGCTGCTGCTGCTGCTGTTGGCGGCTGGGGCCTGGAGGGAGGGAGGGAGGGAGGGAGGGATGCCAGCCGGCCTTCCTCCCGGCGGGGCCTGGGAATCCCCCGGAATGACAGCTCGCCTCCGGGGAGAGAGAGAGATCAAGATGGGGAGCCCTGTTTGTCTGCAGCAGTAGAGCATCATATTGGCTGTTAGCCTCAAACGACAGAGGGAACACTTTGTCTGGGGCGGTGGTGCTCTGTATTCTTGCTGGGGGGGGTTTCTTCTGGAGTTCTGGCTCCGCTGGTGGATCCCCTCATGGCACCTGGGTTTGGGCCACTGTGTGACACAGAGTGTTGGGCTGGATGGGCCACTGGCCTGATCCAACATGGCTTCTCTTCTGTTCTTATGTCTGGGGCGGCGAT